GGGTGTACCCCTGCCTTGTGCCCTGTGATAGACTGCCGTCCTGCCCCGGGTGTACCCCTGCCTTGTGCCCTGTGATAGACTGCCGTCCTGCCCCGGGTGTACCCCTGCCTTGTGCCCTGTGATAGACTGGCGTGCTGCCCCGGGTGTACCCTAATAATAATGGCATGGTTTCCAACTTTGCTCAGTTGGCTGGAGTGAGATTTTCAATTCGAGGTGAGTCTGCACACGTATTTACATGTATGTAACAGTTTTATTACCTTCTAAATAGTCTGTAGGGTTTGCAAACTACCTCAACGTTTCTGATGTAGCTAATTTTAGGTTTACAATGGAATAATTTCGATTTGCCGTAAGATTTCTTACCTGATGCGTGACAGTCGGCAGCCATGTAATGGACAGACGACCAACAATATAATTTTATATTTCATCTTTGGCAGTACACTGTTGACTGTTGGCATATTTGTATCCCATTGTAGCTTAATTGACTCTGTCACGGCACCTTAGAGGGCAGAAAAGAAAAGCGGAACTTGTCTTACAGTCCGTTGTGTGAGTTGTGGCAAAAATGTCATTTTACAGACAGATTATCTTGCTCCTATGTCTGTGCACAGGCCGAGGCTAACTCTCGTAGCACAAATGACAAATGTGCAAAGTGTATTTGTGCCTTAAAATCACAGTGAGCATTAAACGGAATGCAGATCCATCTCTGTGTCCTTCCCACAGAATGTTAAGGACTTTAATTCATGCTGCCTGGTAAGAGTAAATGAGGTAAAGATGCTGGTAAACAAGAGCATGACTTATAAATGTGGATGCTGGAGCGGCATGCCAACATCGAGGTATGACAGTCCAGGAACTACAGGGAGGCGGGATCCGCCGGAGCGGCAGGCCAACACCGAGGTATGGCAGTGCAGGAACTACAGGGAGGCGGGATCCGCCGGAGCGGCAGGCCAACACCGAGGTATGGCAGTGCAGGAACTACAGGGGGGCGGGATCCGCCGGAGCGGCAGGCCAAC